GCTCTCCATCCAGACCCCAACAGGCCTTGGGGCCCCTGCAAAATACCCTTTCAAGATGTCAGGATCCCTTGGACTGGCCTCCCTCCCCTCCGTGACCAGGAGCCTGGTGGCCGCTGTGCGGGCTCACACACCACCCACAGGACTGGAGGGGCCTCGGGGCACCTGGCTACCAGCCAAGCTGTTCCCACTTACCAAATCTCACCTCCCCAATTCCAGGCCGGTCTGGGCAGAGGCCCCCAGTCCTGTGAGCCCAGATTGGCTCCCTGCCCACCAGCAGGCACAGCGTCTCAGGACCCCAGAGCCTCAAGACGCCAGCCCGTGCCTCTGCCCCCACCTGCCTCTAGCACCCAAGAGCTCTGAGGACCAGACAGGTCTGGGCCCACCTCCCCAGGTGCCCCCCCAGCCACCTTTGCTTGGGGGGGGGAGGTCAGAAGGTGCCTACCACCTGTCTCCCAGCAACCTCGGGCCCCATGCTGGGAACCTGTTCCGGGGGTTGGACCCTTGGGCCCCCTCTCACTAGGCAGGTAGGCAGGCTGAGTTACCACCGGTGCCCAGGGTGCCCTGCCCACTGCCACAGCCTAGAGGAGGACATGCAGTGTGTCCCACTGGCCACCAGGGCCTGGCCACTACTGTATGCGCTGTCTTACCTGTCTAGGGACAACCACACCTGTCTCAGAGAGGGACAAAACAACCAGATTCCACAGTGCCACCAGCCACACCCTTCTGGGGTAAACTAACCTCATCCTGTCCCTGGGGAATCTGGCTAGGACCCCTATTTCATGAAGAAGACAGTCGTCCCTTGCCAGAGGGGGATGGCCTCAGATTGTGTGTGACCCAGGCTACCCAACCCCTCCGAGCTTCGGTTTCCCTCTCTGTCAACTGGTGACAGGAAGCCAGGCTGCCCGGCAGGATCCTTAGGAGGAAAAGACTCAGAAGACGCCAGGTGCGCAGAAAGTGCTCAGGGATGTCTCCAGTTCTCCTACCCCATTGCCCCACCCCTCCTGGGAGCTCCCTGGGCCCAGGGACCACAGCCACTTTTGTCACCAGACGTCCACCGGGGCCAAGGCTTCTGGACAGCCCGCCGTGCCCCGCCAGCCCAGATGCGGGGTCATAGGGGAAGCCTGGAAGGTTTCTCAGACCGTCCGGTCTGACCGCCTGGCCAGGCAACACAGGTGGCGAGGCCACGGCTCCCAGGCTGCTCGGCCACAGCCCAGGTCAGAAGCTCCACGCAGCAAGTGGGAGGCTCTCGCAGGCCAGGCCTGGTCTCCCCACACACCGAGCCCCCCGAGGCCCTGAGAACAGCGTCACCTTCTAATCCTTGTAACCAAAACGGGGCAGCATTTGTCATCCCCGGGGACACAGGCTGGCCCGAGGTGACCCAGCAGGCGAGCGTCGGCTCTGACCAAGGCCCCTGGCTCTCAGCAGCCGCTCAGGGCACCAGGTCCTCTGCCACCTGCGCAGGACTGCCCCTCGTGGTCCCCTCCCACGGGGACTCAGGGGCTCAGCCCAGGCTGACCTGGATCCCCTGAGTCACCAGCCCTGGGCCATTTTTAGACACTGGTTTTCCCCGGAAAGCTGCTGGTCCAGGAACTCAAATGCCACCGCTCCTCCCCCTGCCACCCCCGGCCCGTGCCAGATCCCAGGCCTGCAGGGAGGAGGGAGGGGGGCCGCCCAGGCACCACGCCGCGCTCACCTTGACGGCGTACTCCTGGTTGGTGATGAGGTTGATACAGGTCTGCACGCGGGCGTGGGCCCCCTCCCCGAGCACGTCCTCCTGCAGCTGGTAGACATCTGGGGAGCAAGGGGCAATGAGAGGCGCCCTGGGCCGGCCCCGCGCCCCGCCGGCCCGCGCCCTGCCGGCGCCACTCACCTTCGAACCTGCCTGAGAAGCTGTCGGTGGCCCTGCAGCGCTTCTTCTTCTTGGCCCTCTTCTTGGCGTCTGGGATGTCGATGGGCTGGCTCGAGGGCATATCTGTGCCAGAGACCCGGGGGGGAGACCCAGCCGGCTCAGGAGGTGGCCGCTGCCGCCACCTGCCCCAGAGGCTGGCCTGCAGCGCTCAGGCTGGGCCCAGGCCTCACCCACGGCAGAGGAGTGCCCCTCCCTCCCAGGCCCCTCACCAGGGCGGGCTGGGCACTCCAGGCTGAAGTCCGCCTCCCCGTGGTGGGCCTGGTCCAGGGAGAAGGCCAGCTCGAAAGGATTCTGCCCCTGCAGCGGAGAGGGGAGGAGAGAGCTCTCAGCCCCCTCTGCCAGGACAGCCCCACCCCACAGTGACGTGCCCCATGACCACATGCCCAGGGGGAGAGAGCCTGGATCTGCCTGACGGTGAGGAAAGGGACCTTTTACCCCAGCCCAGGGCCTCTGGGGCCTCCGGGGAGGGGGTGCGGGAAGGGGCTGGACAGAGAAGTGGGGGGCACTGCCTCCCATGCCAGGGCTGTCACGTGGGGCCAGACCACACCTGCCCCTCGGCGTGCTCGCCTGCAGAGTGGTGACAGCTCCACTGCCCGCTGACCTCCGGGCCAGCATGGGGATCAAAGGCGGCAGGGCAGCCAGTGGGAGGGTGAATCACTGACTCCCGGGCGGGGCGCCCAGCCGAGGCGGACCTGCCTGCGTCCCCACGGCCTCCTGGGCTCAGCCCTACCTGGGCAAGGCCCTCGTGGCCTCCTGTAAAATGGGCACCATCGCCCTCCCTGCCTCACGCTGCTCTCCCACCCCACCATGCCTTCTGCCCCGGGACGGTGCTCGGTCGCACTGCCGCAACGCCCGTGATGCACCCCCAGCTCTGTGCATCCCGAAGCACTCGCCTCATCTTCTGGTCCAGCCCCACCCGGCGTTACCCAACTGCGTCATGCCCCGGGGGTCACAGGAGAGGCACCCACGGGTTCCAGCGTGAACACCAGGCCGCCCACTGCCTGGCCCTGCCCAGGCCACAGCCTGCACTGTCCCACTCACGCCCAGACACGCCCAGGAGGAAGCCCCTCACAGGCCCCGCTGCCCAGCTAAGAGGCTCACCCTGGGGGGGAAGGGCCACTCAAAGTCCCCGACTGCCCCCAGGACTGGGAGAGAGTGTGAGACCGAGGCTGGAGAGCAAGGGCAGCTGGGGAGCAGAAATGTTCTCCTGTGCTCCAGACAGCAGGTTGCTGGAACAGAAACATTACTGCAGAACAGATGATCCAGCCTGAGGGCTGCCAGCCTCTGCCCGACGGGTGAGGCTTTCAAGCTGGGACGGAGACCCGCCTAGTACCTTTAGGAGCCAGCTCTAATGGCCGGGGCCTTGGGTGGGTGCAGGGGACCCCCGGTGGTGGTGCCAGCGCTGATGCTGGACGACCTGGGCCAAGTCGCTGCCTCTCTCTGGGCCTTGGGACAACTGGGGTAGGGGCTTTGGCAGGAAAGTCATCCACCAGACTCCAGGAGGGCCCTAGGGAGACCCCGAGGGGCCCGCCGGCAGAAGGGGCCGCCCAATTCCTGCAGACCGAGGCCCGGAGACCAGACCGGCCCAGAGGGGCAGGCGGAGGTCAGAGGGAGCGGCTGAAAAACAGGCGTGGGCCCTCCCAGCCTCCCCACCCACCCTGCAGATAGTTGCTAGGAGGCCTGGCAGGGGAAGGGAGGGGAGGGGAGAGGAGAGGGACAGTGCTCCAGCCAGCCTTCGTGGGGCTCATCCACCAGCCCCACAGGAGTCAGGCACACGGCCGTTGGCACTCTGATAAGGCTCCTTCCAGAGGTGCCAGGTGACTACTTCCCCCTGGGAGGAGGGGCCTCAGGGTGGCCACGTAAGGGGCTGATTAGGAGGGAGCGTGGACACGAGGCTCAGCAGCCACCGATGGCACTCGGCCTAATGACCTCAGCCCTGGGCCTGACCAGCATCCAGGGCGACATGGAAGGAAGTTGCCCCCAATTTGTGGGACCGCATAAGGGCACAAGGATCCAAGGGGGCCGCTGGGTCCCATCATCGTCCCCAAACGCTTGTCCCAGCCTCCAACTCAAAGGAGACGGGGCAGCTGAGCCTCCGAGGTGAAGGAACACGACGCCCAGTCACCACCTGTAGGGGGCCCAGGACAAACACCCACTCTTTCCGAGCCTCCACTTTCCCATCTTCAAACGGGTAGAATACTCGGGAGACTCCTGGCAAATGTGTCTCCCTGCTGGGCTGCTGCCGGACTTGGGGGAGGGAAGTGGCCCCAGCTCAAGGGAACAACCTCAGTGCAGTGGGAGGAGACTCCTGCAAGGGTTGCCAGCCCAGGGCCACCTCAGAGCCAGGACTCCCTACCCAGCGTCCCTCCTACCTCCCTCGGGACTCCCATAGTCCCACCTCGGCGCGGGGCTGTCCGGCAGCCTGCAGAGGCCAGCCTGCAGTTCTGAGCATTGTGGGCGGGCCGGGCCCAGGGCTGGCTGCAGGACTCCAGTCAGCAGGCCTTGGCAGGAGGCGGCTGGAACCATCCAGAAAGTTCGAGTTTGCTCTGGCTGCCGCGCTGGCCCCACGCACTGACCCCATCTCGGCTCACACGCAGCCCCAGGAGCAGAGAGACCACCGCAGGTGACGTCTCAGGTCCACTCCCCTCCCACCCAGCCCCGGACACTTGGACTTGCCAAGGCTGTTGCTGCCCTGGGGGGGGAAGCGAGAATGACAGGCGTGTGGGCAGGGGTGGGGCGCTGGCCCGAGACGCTGGCTGGACAGGCCTGGGAATTCTAACCCAAACAGTCTCAGCTTGCTCCTCCCACCCTGGCGCGCCTGTACGCGCACACACACACACATACACACGCACACACGCACTCACACACACAGGTCCTGCCTCCTCTACTGGGCAACAGGTCCCTGCCCAAGGAGGCCCAGAGAAACCATTACATAACTCGGCCGGTGGGGTGGGGCGGCCGCTGCCATCACTGTGTCCCCTGGGCCAGGCCCTGTGAGGCCCCTGCCCACCACCTGCCCACCCCCCCAGATTCGCTCATCTGAGACCAGGAGTCGCAGCCATGGGGCCACAGCAGAAACTTCCCACTCCGACAGGAAATAGCACTTGGGCCTAGGGTGTCTGGAAGGTGCAGGGCTGGCGGGGCATCCAATCCACTCCCTCATTCCGCAGACCACCTAGGAGGGTGTGCCGGGCAGCCTGCAGCCCTGCCTGGGGTTCCTGGAGGAAGGACCCCACAGACCCCACAAGCCCCGTGGAGCTGGGAACAGGACTGTGGCCCGCCAGCAGTGTGCACCAGGCTCGGGTTTGCAGGGGACACAAAGGCAAGGGCCCCCACGGGCAGGTGGCTCTCAGCCCTGCCTGGGGCTCCTGGAGGAAGGACCCCGCAGGTCCCAGGGCTCTGGAGACTAGACTGTGGCCCGGTGACCCCCACCACCGGCTTACACCCTGCTGGGGCAGCCCCAGGCGCAGGGCGGGGGGCGAGCACGAGCCCCGGGGGAGATCCTGGGGGCGGGCTCAGCTCCCCCTCCACCGGCCACTCGGGTGGTCCAGCCCGAGGCGCCCGCCAAACCGACCGGGCCCTCACCTTGAACGAACGATGGAAGCCCTGAAGTTCGGCTGTTTTCTTCTGCACCATCTTCTGTCCGGGCCCCGCCAGCGGGGGAAAGGACGCGGGGCCCGGGGGGCGGCCCGTGGGCGGGGGGCGGCCGGGGAGGGGACCCTGCGGGCGGGAGCAGACAAAGGAGGGCGTGAGTGGTCGCGGCCGGCGCGCCGGGAGTCACGGCCAGCGCGGC